CTCATATATCATCGAAACTAACAAGCTAACATCTTTATATCTTTATTTCTGACCACAAACTCATGCAACTTAACTTCTTGCTCCGCTAAAAGAGGATCCTGATAAATCCATCTCTCATTCATATTAATGAAATGATGTCCCAAATCAATTTTTTTCTTTCTAAAACGCTTTAGATGTGCATACAATGCCGTGTTAAACTACGTTTGTGTTGCATTATTGGAGACACGAAAATAATAGGTTATATAAAATATTTCTGAGGTTTTCTGGTACATTTTTGAACAAAAATTTTCTTTATTGAAAATTATTTTTTATTAAGCATATATTCGCTATTATAATTTATGGCCTTTTGCTGTTTTTCGGATATCTTTATAATTCCAATGGTATAGAACTTCTGTGGCTTATCGACGAAAAACTTGTTCAATTGCTTTTCAGCGACTGTTCGATTGGCTAATTTTTTATTTAATATGGTGGACTTCCCAACCAGGTTTTGTAAATTTCTTCCAAGCCATCAAAGATGTGTGTGTGGCCTGACGTTGTCATAATGTAACAAAACTCGTGTCTGTTCCTCAATTTTGGTTGCTTTTTGTTTGTTCCGTTCAAGCGGTCGGATTATGAGGAATAGAAATCCGAAAAAACTGAAACAGTTCCCTTCCATTCCCTCCAATTAGTTCACATAACCTTGTTTGCTATCAATTCACCTTTGAAGTCAATTTTTAATCAATTTTTTAACGCCCGTAATTATTAACTTTAAAATTGGTTCGATTTCGTTACGTTTCAGCAACGTGTCACTGACGGTAATTCAGTCATTTCTGTGCAATGATCTATTTGGTATCCAAACATCGCCAGTCTTTACGTAATCTGTTCTTTTTAACTGATTTCAGACTATCATGCGGTTGATGTTTAATGGTTCCGATATCTGCTGGCAGCTTAAGTATTAGTTTTGCTTAAGGAGTAAAGAGTTTTTTCGCCATTTTTTGTGGCTTCTGACGTACAATGTGTATTTCTGACATGAAAATTTTTGAAAGGTAACCAAGCAAACTACTTCTGGATTTAGATAAAAACCTCGAAGAATTTTTGTATTATCCAATATTTCTTAATATGCATATTAAAATGTCTATAACTTCTACTACATCCCTTTTGTTCAATCGATGAACTTCTAAAACCATATCCTGTATTTCTGTACTACTTTGTGGTACTTCATATACTTCACCTAAATAGTTTTCAAGATTAAAACTTTTCCGACTATTTTTGAATATCCCAGCCTGTATTCAACTAACATATATTTAATTTTGGTATAAATACCCCCTGTCTTTTTTGTAGATTTTATTTTTTTAACTTTTAAAAATAAATATTCATTTCTTTCTTATTATTATTATTAAATTTCTTTAATGTATTTGTTGTTATTTATTATCATTATTTCTCCATATTACTAAAATTATTTATGGAATTTGTTTTTTAATTAATACATATGGAATTAATATTTATATTTTTTAATTATTAAATCTAATTAAAATTATTTTATTTAATGCATTCAACCAAAAAGTAAAAGTTGAACGCTTGAACTAATATTTAATATATAATTTTATATTAATATTATTATTGTTGTAGACTTTTTACGGAGATTATATTACTATAGTTTGTCCATTATGACAAAGAAACTAATTTCCAAAGAGAAAAATATCAACAGATTAAAACTTCTAAGCCTGGCACTTGTAGTTCATAAAATTATATATAGACTAATAAGCTAATGAGTTACTTCTAACCAACCCTTGATGTTGGGTATTTGGAAATACTCAAAACAGCTGTATGGTCAGTCAAAAAATGTAATTAATTAAACTATGTTTATTTATTTACATTTTAAATAGAAATTTTTATTTGTTTTTATTTATTTATTTTACAAATAATAATCAATGAATTAAACAAGTCTATTTATCTCGTTTTTGAGAGTGAAAGTAAAGTGCTTTCAACCTTGCAATAAATATTAACTGCGCTTTATGTTTTAGGCGGCGCAATGAACCTGCGGGCATATGAATTCAGTCCTATTAAATGTTACGGTTTATAGCGGAGGAAAATCAAAACTAGATTTACTTTTAAAAATACGCGAATTTCCCGAAAACCACTAAGTCGTTCAGGTTTTGCCTAAAACTGGTCTAAAATTCAATGGTTGCATGCAGCAATTTCGATTTGTTGCTTCCACTGTAGCTGCAAGCGTTCGACTTAAGTTGTGCGGAATACTTATAACTATTCATTAATTGGTTAATCGCTTCAAATTAACGTTAGCCGAAGTTTTCAACCATGTTTTCTCTAGCCCCTTCTGATTATTTGTCTATTTGTCTTCTGTCTATCTGTCTGTCTGTTTCATTTTTTTGTTACTGTTTAAGTTGTGCTAAAAACTTGTTGGCATGTGAACGACGCAATTCAATGTCCATAATTTCATTTTCTACGTTTTGAATTGGTCGCACCGAACACCGAACACGGTTGCACCGTTTACTGAACGCCTTGAATTATGAAATACTTGGAACCTGTCAATGACCAGCAAAACTGAAATGAAATTTCCATTTAAAATGCAATGCAGTTTTTGCAATATTTTAATTGGTAACTGACTAACGAAGTCAATAAATTCGAGCGCAATTGCATGTCGCAAGCGTAACCCCATAAACTGGCATATGGATGGATGTTAGCAAAACAGCACATAAAAGGCAAGAAACTCGTTTCATCAAATTAGTTTTTCTAAACTGCATAAAAAGTATACGCATTCAATCTAAAAATTATACAATTTTGCTACTGAATAAATCACTTAAATGTGGGAAAACTTCAACAAATTTTTCATTGGACTCAAGTGAACGCGACTCACACAGAACTCGTTAAAATTTGGCGTTCTCCACATTTCGGTTCGAATTCGCATTGGAATTTTTAAAGTTTTTTTTTGTTTTTTTTTATATTAATGTTGGTCAACAAACCAATTTGAACAACGCATTTCACACAATCAACCTGACACTAGCACAGATACAAATGTATCTATGTAGATACATTTGCCTGGTAGTAGAGTGGTATGTGTGTTCCGTTGTGCCCTGTCCGGTTCACTTGACAGTTGTCGTTGGGGACATGTAACGCTTTACGTTGTTATAATTTCATTTATCAGATTTTTTTTTCTGTTTTCGTCAATTTGTATCCTTGTTTCCCAGTGCTACCGCCACTTCCTGCTGCTTTCATCTCTTTCATTTGCTTTATTTAAAAAACAACAATATTTACATTCATTCTCATTCATTTTATTACCTTTTTTACCGGATAAAAATGAACTTAGTGGTTTGTTTATTTAGCAAGAAAAATATTTGCATTTTGTACTACGCTATGTATTTTTTCACTTAAGTCCTTTTTTATGTCACATCCGTTTTAAGTTTGCCAAAGAGTGAACCCTTATTTTTTATGGATATATCCATTTTGAATAGTGAAAACATTTTTAAATCTTATTAAAGCACAAATGCCTTACTAGTGACTATCTATGCGCCTTGAAAATCATAATAAAAACTAAAAAAAAAATATTGCAATAGGGCGTGGTTAAAAAAACGATACTGTAATAAATATATAGTACATTTTAAAACAAATGATTTCATTAGGTGATTAATATGAATACCTCGGAATTAAGTGATAAGATCATGACTGTGTCATCATATGCTAGTACAGTTACTATACATTTGCTTAATAGTCACTGTATTCTGGTAATCTGTAGCAGACGATTATAATAACGACCGTAATATATATGAAATTATAATATGAATGAATATAAAGATCTGAATAAACAGTCAACTAAATATTTGTGTAGTAATCTCTGGCAGACTACTATTCTGGCCATCGCCGAGTTCCTAACTAATAGTAAATGTTAAATTATAATTTGAATGAATATAAATTTCTAAATAAATAACTAACTTCTATCTACTAATCTTGTTTAGAAAATACAACAAAAAATAAGACGACTATTCTTATAAATAGAAAGTGTAAGACTTTAGTTGTTACTATATAGATAACAGCTATATAGTTTATATATAATGGAACTAATATTTTAAAGAAATATTATTAAAGAAATATTAAAATAATTATTAGAATTATATATAATGTATTTACAGATGAATGTATAAAAACAATTAAGATAACAATACTTTCGAAGACCACTCTTAATGAATCTTTAGTTGTATTCGAAACAGCTGTATCATTCAATAAAAAAATAAATTTTATTGCCATCAATTTTTTTAACTGTAAATGATTTTTATCTGCAATAGAGACTTATTTGATTAGACAAAAATTACTATATAAAATTTACTAATGAAAACAAAGAATGGAACTAAGCGCTCTAACTAAAACTGACAGTTTAGATTCAGTATAATCTCTTTCATTATGTAAAAGATAATAAATGCTTAATGATGTCTAAATATTTATCGATATAGGAAACATGTGAATTTAATAATATAAAAGAAGCACATAAAAGAGAAGAGAGCAGTACGGTATCTCACCATTGCTTAACTAAACCTTCTAAGAAATATTAATATAAATGCAAGTAATTGGAATTGGACTACGTGTTCATTCATTACTAGTACGAGTTATTATTTGATTGATATTGGAATACAAAATTAAATATATAAAACAGATAATATATAAATAATATATATATATATTACATACGGAATGAATGCTCACTTAGTATCCAACACACGATTTCGTTTAAACTATGAAATACAGATTTTCCGTTTCTTGATGTTTTGTTGATTATTGATTTTTTAATTTTAAATTTATAATAAATAGTTATTATTTTTCAATCAGAAAAATGAATACTCAGAGTGTTTCAGTTTCAACTATCTATATAGTATGTATATAATTCGGAGAGAAGTTGGTTCGTTATTCCTTATTAAAATCACTGCTCAATTTGAAAAATGCTTATTACGAAATATATATATTATTAATATTAAAAAAAAACTATTATTCAAATGGTATTATTTTTATTTTAGATTAAATTTTTGAAAACCAAAGAAGGCACAGCCATGGTACAAATGGGTGATTCCGTTGCTGTTGAACGTTGCGTACAACACTTGAACAACATTCCAGTCGGCACTGGTGGCAAAATTCAAATTGCATTCTCAAAACAAAATTTCCTATCTGAAGTTATTAATCCATTTTTGCTTCCCGATCATACACCAAGTTTTAAGGAATACACAGGCTCAAAGAATAATCGTTTTCTGTCCCCTGCACAAGCCAGCAAAAATCGTATTCAACCACCAAGCAAGGTTAGTCATTAAACAAAAAAATGAATTATTTATTAAATAATTTATTGTACTTATTTAAAGATACGTTTGATTTATTTTGTCTAAAATTATTTAAATGATTTATTTTAATTATTTAATTATTATAATAAGAACATATTTCATCATTATATACAAATTTTTTTTTATAGAATATATATTTAGTATTCTTTTTATTAAACAATTTATATAAATTATTAGTATTTTCGAAATATTTCCATTAAAATATAAACATAGATTTTAATAATAAATTAAAATTTAATAATTAGTTTTTAAAAATTTGAATAATTAAATCATAATTATTTAAAACAAATATTTTGGTCTACTTCGTAGATCATCTTCAGTGTATTGAAATATAGGTCGAAGATATTGTATAAATTATATAATAATTAAATTATTATAAAAGGACAATACACAAGATAACTATATGTAAAAGAATATAATAATTTATAAATTATTATTTACGTAAATAAATAACAATAATAAACACTTAACATATGTTTTTTTTTCATCTTTACAGATTCTTCACTTCTTCAACACACCTCCTGGTTTAACTGAAGATCAGTTAATAGGCATTTTCAATATTAAGGAGGTACCTGCTACATCCGTGCGACTTTTCCCTCTTAAAACAGAACGCTCTTCATCGGGTTTGATTGAATTCCCAAATATTTCACAAGCAGTTTTGGCAATAATGAAATGTAATCATCTGCCAATCGAGGGTAAAGGTAAGAAAATCAAAATAATTAAACAAGAAATGGTTAATACTCAGGCATATATTATATTTAATAATACTCTACTTAATTCTAATAAATATATAATTTTTTAACTTTATTCGTTATAAGTGTAAAGCCAATGTTTGAGCATTAAACATTATTCAAATTTAGTCCCTAAAATTATGCAACAATAAAATTATTTACGCTCTACAGTTTGTGCAGAAACGGCTGTGTAAATTAACGCTAATTGCTTGCTGAAATTTGGTTTGTTGAACCATTTTGGTTTCATTTGCAAATATCGTTTAAATTTTAATTGCGCAATTACCACTTCAGCTGTAATCAAACATTAAACCCAAAATTCGTTCAATCGTAAATTTAGTATTGAACAAATGTTGCTGTTGCTCTTTTTGTTGTTATTGTCGCCAACTTTGTAGTAACAATTTTGTAATTACGCGAAGTTCAAATAATTTATGACACTTTTAATAATTAATTATTTCTATAAATGTTAAATTACTCAACTCATTTGCAGATAACAGCTTTGGAAATATGATTTGAAAATATGGATTAACAATATAAAAATGAAAATGAAGAGAAAATCTTTGGTTTGGTTATTCCAATGGTTTAATCTTCGAAATCGCTCGAAATACTGAGAAATATGTTATAAAATTTATAGAAACAGTACTTTTGTATTAATTATTGCTCAAATTTTTTTATTACTATATTTGATGTAGCTTTGATTATTTGATTATTATTAATAAGTAGAGTTCCATTGTTTAGATTTCAATACACTTAGGCTAAATTGGACATTTTTAACACAGTATAGGTACACAGTTTCATTGAACTATTTTGTTGATGCAAAACTTATAGGAACCATGTTAGTAACGTATATGACGTCTCCTACGGCAGCCAAATATGTACATTGTATTTTTGCTATTCACTAGATAGAAACGGAGAAGACGTTGAATGACTTTTTCTTATAATATAAATTATTTCATTAAAAAATTTTATTAAATTATAATGTGCACTTATAAGAAAAGTGATGTCATTAAATTGCATGAAAACTGTGCTTCTATTTGATATACTTAGTCAAAAAATTGAGATCGCAGTTTAAAATATATAGACAATATGTTAATAAATAACCATATTTATTGGCACATAAACTAATAACTGTTTCATTATATTGGTTTGAAATGAAGTACGTTTTGAATGGTACTTTAACAATTTTGGATTCAATGATCCATATTGAATTTTTAAGTTTTTGTTTTTTTCTTCATGTTTCGACATAATCTACTCTTGATAAATACATTTGTTCCAATTATGAGTCAATGTATACAGAATACTTATATATGTCGGATATTGGCAACAGTTTTCGCACTTCGTAGCTAGCATTCAACTTTTGAGACAGTAAATATTATTTGAAATCAGATTTAGTGAAGAGTAGAAATCTAATTGAAATTTGAGTTTTAGAAATGTAATATGTGTGCAGTAACAAAATGTTAGTTGAAAATAAAAAAATTTAACTACTTGATTACTTATTAAGATACTTTGCAACAATTTAAAGCAACATAAAAGCAAATTAAAAAATTTATTACCTTTAATCGGTAGAAAACAGGAGCGTGTTATTTATTATTGGTAAAATAAATAAATACATTTTTGTATAATTATATTATACGACACTATTTCACTATTAAAGAGTTCTAATTCTTCTTTTACTTATAATTTACTACTGTAAATATAAAATGCAATTTTAAAATTAAAGAAAATTAAATCTAAATTCTTAGTATAATTAAATTCAAAAATTTGATTGACAAATTAATTAAAAGTTGGACTCCTAAAGGTATGCAATTAAATTTATTTTATAATAACACTTGATATTTAATCTAATAGATGATTTTTTTACTTCTTAAAATAAATGTGGATAGTTATTTAATTCTTTAATAAGGTAATGATATTGCAAATAGTGTATGCCTTCCTAATTTCCTTTATTATCGCAACTTCCACAAAAGTTTAGAAGTGCCACATTTATACTGTTGTACTGGTTCCCATTAGATAGTGTCTTATTATTTATTCCAGTATATAGACACAAACCAAACTTCGTCTATGCAATTGATTTAGATATTAACATTAGTTAATTCTTTTTGTCGAAAGCGAAGTGTTTTATGACGAAAATAAACTATTTAAAAGTTAGAAGGGTTCGAATAGACTTGAAAAGATAACAGTAAATGTGTTTTATTTTAGCTAAAATAAATCAACTTTCAGCCTCTTTTTTCATAAAATAACACTGACTGTCCGTCGGAATTTTTCAACTGTTTGATGTTAAGGACATACCGAAATTATTTTACACATTTTAATATACTATTTTAAAAAAGTTTTAATATAAACATTATTTAAAATATCTGCTTATATCTTCTCTCTTTTATTACAGGCACCAAATTTCCTTTCATTATGAAACTATGTTTCTCATCCTCAAAGAGCATGAACGGTGCTTGGAACAATGCAACAAATGAAGGCATCATAGAGAAAGAGAATGACGCCGAAGTGAAGCAGCAGGATGTGTACAATTGAGATTTAATACAAATTTTGTAAATTCAAACATAATAACAAAAATCTTTTTAACCAAATAATGAACCTAATCATACACATCTGAAATTAAAATGAAAAAAAAAATAATAATATTATTATGAATTGAAAACCAATATAGCGAAGAAAAGGAAATACACCAAATAGAACAAACCTTACAACAAGAAAACAAAAAATTTCAAAATTAATAACAAAGAAGAATAAGAAGAAGACAGTAAAATCTAATTTTCTTAATTTAAAAACTATTGTACAATAATTCGCTATTATATCGCTATTAGTTTTCATTTATTATTACCATTACACACACATTAATTAGAAAATATAAATAAATAAATATAAAACTATTTCGTATATTATTTAAAAATAATATTGTATTAATATATATAACAATTGAAACTGTTCAGCAAGCAAAGCTGAAAATATAATTTGATTTTAATAATTTCAACAAGAAATTACTGATAAAGAAATAATTTTTTGTTTTAAAAAAATATTTTGACAATATTAAAAAAATTAGAAATTAAATTAAAAACGAAAAATAGCAAATAAAACGTTAATTGAAAAATGAATTGTTAAAAAAAATTAAACCAAAAATGCTATAAGAAAAACTGTATAAAAACTGGTTTTTGACTAAAGTAGTATTAAAAAAATATATATATATATATTTAATTTATGATATAAAAAAATATTTAAAAGTAAAGCTATTCATGTGCAATTTAAACATAAAATATTTATGAAATTATGAGAAATAAAAAAATTCAAATATAAAATAAAATTTGAATTAAACTTGCACAAGCAAATTTTACAAATCAAACAAAAGACATTATTTTGTGCTTAATTTTACATTAAAAAATAACTATTTTAATTTGTATTTAATTACGTTTAAAATTTTATTGTATTTAAGAATGATTAAATGATTAATGAAAATTTACTATAAATACATTTTAAGAGAGAGGAGAATTTTAGAATATTTAAAATCTTAAGCATTAATGTTATTATAATAAATTAGAAATTATTATTATATTTTATTATTTTTTTTAAGCTAGCAAAAGGCGAAATGTTTTTTAATGTTTAATTTTAATTGTTAAAATGAAAAATATTTTTGAAAGTTTATTATAATCTTTTAGGAATATTTAAATTAAAAAACCAAACAAAAATTTATAAATAAATACGAATTAAGCATAAAAAAAGAGTTTAAAAACAAAAAACAAAAATATCAGCAATAAAGGCAACAACCATATCAAGGCAAATTTAAGTAAAGTACTTCGTAAAATGTATTTATTATAAAAAAAATAAAAATGAAAATATTTTGTGAAAAACATTTATTTATATTAACTAAAAATTAATATAAAAGAAAATAAAACAAATTTATGGACTAATTTTTTCTGCCGCAAACAATAAGTTTAATTAATTATTATACACAGGGAGAAATAAAAATGAAAAAAACACAAAAAAATATATAAAAACTTAAATGCAAAAAGCAAATGCATATAAAACTTTTCAAATACTTAAGTATCAACGAAATGTAAACTTTTTGTTTTTATAAAAGACTTATAAAGAAAACTATATGCTAACTTTAAACTTTTGGCTATTTAAGCCCTAACTGAAATTTCATTAAATTTATTTAAATAATTATTTTTTTGTTTTCTACGTGCAATATTTAATTAAATTTAAACAAAAAAAAAAACAAGTTGTCTATACTTTTTATATTAAATTTACACGGTAAAAATAATTTAAAATTTCCAATTGCAATAGTTCCACCACAAAATTAATTTTGAAATATTTTAACTATAAATTTTATGTTTAATTTTTATTTTATTTAATTGTATTTGTTTTTAAAAAAATTGTATATAAAAGCTAAACTTTTTTAAAAGTTAATTTTTTAAACGTTTGTTGTATGTGTATAATTAAGTAAAGAAATATTTTTTGTTTTGTTGTGTGTAAAAAGAAACTTTTTTATTATTTTTTTAATATGTATATGTTGTTTTAAATTTTTTAATTAAATTTATAATTTTAATTATAAAATATTTTGAATATTTTACCTTAAGTTTTCATGTTATATTAGTTATGAATACATTTAATAATAAAATCATTTTCATTGTTGTGTATAATGTAGTAAATATTTAGAAAGTAAAACATAAAACATTTTATTTAAAAATATTCATTTTAATTTAATGTATAAGAAGCTGAAATCTCGTTAAATTTTTCATTGTATAATTGTAAAAAAAAACGCAAAAAACATCGATAAAAGATCCTAATTAAAAATTAAGTTATTAAAAATAAAATATCAATAAAGAAGAAACGATCAATTAAAATAGTGCTTAAAATTAGTATCGAATGGTAGCTATAAAAAAATGCAATTATTTCAGTTTAGTTTTAGTTTAATTTGTTGTTTATTTAAAAAAAAAAAAATATATATATACATATATATTATATACTAAATACTTAATTTGTTATAATTTTGAGTGGAAAACTTTTTAATGCTTCCGCTGCGGTACTTAAAATCTATTTTCCAAGAATTAGGAATAGAAAATTTATGTTTTTGTTGTTTTATTTATTGTTTAATTTAAGAACAAGTTTTTATCATATAAGTTTTAATTATTTTCTATAAATAAAGGAATTATTCTTTCTTGCAATTAAAATAATTTTTTATTTTTATTTTATAAAATTTTTATTTAAATATTTTTTTTTTAAAAAAACTGTTCATTTTAAGGAATTGATTTCAGACAAATAAATATTCAATAAATTTATTTTATAGATTTATTACACTTGTTAAACTATCTTAAATCTCCCTGGTAAAGTTAATATTATTTTGTGTTCGTTTTTGCAATAAAAACAGAAGAAAAACAAATTAATATAAAATGAATACAAGAAATACAAAAAGAACACAATAAAAAATATGCCAAAAAAGAAAAAAATCCTGAATTTTTAACATATCGAAATTTTTATGCATATTAAAATACAACAAAAATAAAAAAAAATATGTCTTAATTTGCTTAACTAAACTTTAAATATATATACATATATATACATATATATGAATATATGATTATATAGACTAATAAAAGAAAGTATAATAATTTGAAAGAACTAAAAATGCTAAAGTACTAAACTTCAAAGTAAACTTTAACCAAATTTGCATATTTGCAGTTAAACAATAAGAAATAATTTTAAGTGTAAAATTGCAGCAACAATTGAATTATTAAGGAATTTTGTAACATTTTTATATAGGGAAATTCTTTATGTATTTTAGTTTCGAATTTATTTGCTTAAAATTACTAAAAATAAAACAAGAAAAATATTTTATTGGATATGTAGCAAAATTTAAAAGAACAAGCAAAAAAAAATTAGTTAAAATAATTTTAGTAACAAAATTTATTAATTTCGTTCTAAACGTAGAAAATTTAAATTTAGCAAATTATTAAAATTTAATCTATTTTATTTAATTTTTTCAAAATTTTCCAAATTACTTTATTTTACTTTATTAATTAATTTTTTTCCTTTGGCTTACGAAAGTTTGAGCATTTCAAAAATTTTAACAATAATTTTTAATAAGTTTCTTCTATATCAGGAAATATCTTCAGAGTATTACCAATACAAAAATAAAAAAATTAAGGACAAAATTATTATAGAAATTGTTAGAAGACTGTTTTATATTAAAATATTTGCAATATTGAAAATTAAAAAAAATTTGAATCTTTTGAATTTGGTTAATTATATAGTGTAGAAGTTCCAAATTTTTCATAAAATAGAACATCACAGCTTCGGTAGATTTGTTATGCTAACAACTGACCCTAAACAAATAAAAGAAGCACAGCATTTCTTATGAATTTCAGTATCTTTACCATAGAAGAGTTTTTAATATCAGACTTGAATAGTAGCTATTGAACCAACATATACTTCCTCTTCCAAATCAAGCCTGAACAAACACAAATAATGTAAGGATATGTCTCAACGATATAAAAGGAGAAATTATATTGTGTCATTTAGACATACCCTTCTTATTGAGATGCTAGCATAGTTTATGACGTCCGTTTTTGTAAAATATCCACACCTCAGCTTTGTGCTATTAAGTAGTGATATCGCTTTGTAGACAAACCAATTTTTTGACCTGGTGGTCTGTTGTAGTTTCTGAAATATTATTTAAAAAAATGCTTGCACATTGTTCTGGTATTTCTTTAGATCTGCTTGCCGTTTGGCGAATTCTCTGGATTTCTGGAAATTCATTAAGCAATTTTAAAATTTAAAAATTTTTTATATATCTCATCGTTTATTTACTGTTGCCTGCTTTTCCCGTGCTTCGGTTCTAGGAGTACGGTGCGTCTTTAAACTCCTACTCCTAGACATGGTTCTTCGCCATGTCTTAGCTGGGGTTGCAGTTCTACGGCTGACTTGTGGGGTTCAAGCGTATAGCTTGCTTTGTTATGCAGGATGATATTTTCCTGAGCGTGTTGCCAACCCACTTCCATTTTCTTTTCTTCTCATCGCTACACTGTTATTAATATGACTTTCAATGAATGGCTTTTTTATATATTTATTTTTAATAACAAAAGTCAACAATATTAATATTGTGATAGTTCTACATAAATTACAACACTGTTGTTCACATATATATTTTTTTCACTTGATTCACTTAATTTTGTTCACAGATTATTTTATAGTTTAAAAATCTCATAGAAAAAACTATACTCTGAATTATACACATCATATAGCACAGAGGGGATACAGAGGGGCACTGCTTTACTCTAGAGGATGCCAATTTCCCAGTTCATTATTTATATTGTGTTTGGACATATATTGTGTCTTAACATAAATTAATGATAAAATTTTTTTCTATATTTAACTGAAACTGATCTTTATTGATGTGCAATTTTATTGTTATTGCCTGTTTTTACCAATAAAAATTGATTTAAAAAAATCAAACTTTCAGTAATGCAAAATTCAAACTTTCTTTTTTTAATTTTTTTTTATATTTGGTTAAATTTATTTTAATTATTAATGAAAATTTTACACTAACAACGAAAAAGATGTTTGGCCAAAAGAAAATTTTTTAATTTATTTTTTTTTTTGTTTCAATTATTTTTAGTTTATTTTTCGAAAATCAATATTAGTAAAATACAAACAAAAAACAAAAATGATATACATTACCAATACTCTTACAACTTTGTACACCGATAACATAGACATACATAGCAGTATGCATATTAAAAAAATATATTTAATACAGAATAGTAATTTAAAAGAGCAACTACAAGATTATATTGTATTTTTAACTTTTTACTGTAAAAAATAATATATAAAGAA